CATTTATCAACCACACAGTTCATGGGATCCTATACTATTCTTCTTAAAAAGTTACTAATAATTTTACCTGAACACTCCAGCAATATTGTTTTCCCCTTTGGGGAGAAGAGATGGTTTCTCCTAGAGTAAATGGTGAAGTGTTGGTGAAAGTGAACGTGCATGGAGAGATAAAAAGAGAGGAAATGGAAAAGTTGGGAAGAGAAAAGGGGAAATTGGTGACACCATCCTTGGGAACTGCGTAGCACAAAAAATGAAAGATCGGGATAATACTTCGAGTGAATAAAAGGTTCAGGACATCAGCTGCAATTTTCACTGGAAAATTTGCATGGACGTTCTGTTGATAATTCTTATAAGGGATAGATATAAATGAGAGCTTTGGTATATTTCTTGTGCACAAGGTATCATTCTCTTCTTTTTGCTAGTGATGAACTGTTTTTTACTGATTGTTGAAAAAATCCTTATTGTAATTTGGTTCTAAGTATTTTTCTTGTTGCATGACCTTAAATACATCTTACTTCATACCTGAGTCAATTACCTCTACCAACTATAGCGTCACTTTTGAGCAAATTTCATCATCTGTTGATATCATTCTCAAGCTTTTAGATTAACTGCTTCCATGTTGGTTGATGTGTTTTCCATGTCTGTGGTCACCGTGTCACCATTGTGAAATTCAGTGTTGTAAACTTGGGAACACTTTTGTGCAATACAAATATTCTAACTATGCATTTGAGATATGTCTGAATGGAGAAAGCTCATATGGGATTCTGAGGTGGAAAATTGATTTGATGTCCATCAGCATATCAAAATATATTGTCAGATTGAGTGCTATCTAGAGCCTCCATTATATGTTTCTGTATTCTCTCGTGATACTAGTAACACTTTGATGTAATATTTTAATACTAGGAGACGTTTCATCAATAAGGTTCCCTTTCAATTAGATGGCTAAGGGAATAAGATAATGCAGGATTGGAATTACAGAATCTTACATACGTTATATGCACATATGTACAGGATCTATTACACAGGTTCTAAGAATCTTCAAGTTCATGACCACATCAGGCACTTGACACTCATAAACATTTATTTGGTGAAAAAGCACATCAACTATGTTAGATTTGTTCCAAATTGCATTAAATGAGTTTGAATTTTCAATTTGAAAAGTTTCTATTACGTCAGTCATCATTTACTATAAAAACAAAGGAGAAAGGTTTGCAATATGCTTGTATCTTAAATTAAGAGCTTTGATGAGTTTGTTGTCAAGAGCTTCTATCCTTGCCAAGACATCATCATTCTTAATGTTACATGGAGAGTGTTACAATATTATTAACTATTGTGCATACATTGCGCTAGGCATTTAATGTTATCTCTGTGAACCTTTCAACGTGAGACAAGTCATGGTTTGACTTGATACATTTATTAAGATGATAATAAAAAAAGGCAGTATTAAGTAGAATTGGAGCATAAACTGGGTTGACATGTCTATTATTTTCTCTAAAAATTTGAAGGAGATAAAGTTATGTAAGTGAGTTCCATATAGAGTATTATATTCTTTTAGTAAATGGTAAAATTTCCACTTTTGTGAAATGGGCATTATTTTTTGAAACTACCTAAAACAGAAATAAAGGCATACATTTTGAAAAGGACTTCCTAATTATTAGAGCACTTAAGGTATTTTCTTGAGCAGAATCTGGACATATTTATGAAGTTGATCTTGAGCATTGAGTGCTGAATGGCTCTTTGTTGGAGATATTATTCAAAATGTGAGGGAAAACTAATGGACCAGCTGATAGTGGAAGAGTGATAGTCTGTGTTTGGGAAATCTGTTGTGTTTCACTCATAACAATGCAAGGATAACTGGAAGACCAATTTAAATAATACAAGATTTTTTGCTACACTTTTATTTTGATATAATTCTTTTTGTCTTTTCTTTTTTATTGTACACAATATATATACACAATATTTATATATATTTTAGTTCCATCATTATTGATCAGTTCCATTTTAGGATAATCAAATGGCAGATGCAACTCAAGTAGAAGACAAAATGTCTGAAGAGATCTCAGAAAACACCCCTGGCAAGAAGCAAGAAACCCCTGAAGAGATGCTTTCTAGGCACAGGTACTGCATCTGTGTCTACTCTCGTCACTCCTTTCTTATGTTAAATATCATGTTTCAGTTTGAGGGTTGAAGTAATGTTTTTGTGAGCTTCTCTTAAAGCGAGTCTGATTTGATTTGCTTTTGGGAAGATTTGGTAGTGATCTAACCTTGCACTCTTGTTGCAAGTGGGGAAATAATCCAATTGTCAAAAGATGAGAGAGTATAATATGCTAACATCGAAGAATATCAATATAAAAAAGGTTGATCAATCAAGAATTATATTAGCATTCTAAAAGAATTATATTAGCATTCTAATTCATTCAGGTAATGCAATTTGTTTATATTCCCGTGTCTATTTAATGAGTTGCAGGAAAGAGATAACGGATCTACAGAACAAGGAAATTGCAATGAAAAAGGCAGCAGCTAAAGGCAGCAAGGCTGAACAGAAAGCTAAGAAAAAACAAGTTGATGAAGAGATATCTAAGCTTTCAGTGAAGCTCAAAGAAAGACATGCTGAGGAACTGGCTTCTGTAGGCTATAGCACTGGTGCTGGGAATGGAAGAGGAAATCTCGACAATTTGGTAAACGCCATTGCTGGGGTTTCAGTCACCGATCAAGCTGACCATTCAAAACCTAGCAAGGGTGTCAAGCGGCGTGAGAAAAGATCTCAACAGGAAGCTGCAAGAGAACAAAGAATACAAGAAGAGCAGAGCAAGATCGTAAGTGACCGAAGGATTGAAAGCGAGAAGTTAGAACAAAAGTTGGAACCCCTTGGATTGACCATTAATGAAATAAAGCCTGATGGGCACTGTCTCTACCGAGCTGTTGAGAATCAGTTGGCCCTCCACTCCGGAGGTTCTTCTCCTTATACTTACCAAGAACTTCGGGAAATGGTAGCTGCTTATATGCGGAAGCATGCATCTGATTTTCTTCCATTTTTTCTCTCTGAGAATATAGCTGAGGGAGAATCTGAGGAATCTCTTGCAGAAAGGTTTGAGAATTACTGTAGAGAAGTGGAGTCAACAGCAGCATGGGGTGGACAACTAGAACTCGGTGCTTTAACCCATTGCCTGAAGAAACATATCACTGTATTTTCAGGATCTTTTCCTGATGTAGAGATGGGAAAGGAATACAAATCTGGTGATGGATCTGGCTCATCTTCTTCAAGTATTATATTATCGTATCATAGGCATGCTTTTGGGCTCGGTGAGCATTATAATTCAGTCGTCCCCAGTTGAGTTTGATACTCGTTTGCTGCTGAAAGATACCGTCAAAAGTATCATTATATTTTATGTTCATTTGATGCTCTTGGTAAAGAGAACCAGTTTAAGCTACAGTTGCTTTATCACAATGTTAATGATTTCGGACACAGATTTTTCTGATAAGTCATCTTTGTAAAAGTAAAACATCTCTTATTTCAGGTTTGTTTAAGTTGGCATTCTATCTTCACTTGTGAATTAACAGGCATATTCGAAACAGCTATGGTTCCTTTCTTGTTTTAAACGAAAATTTTTGGTTTGCGACTGCTTTCTGCAGTATTGTGAAATATCCATCTGTATTGTGGTACTGACTTGATTCTTGAAGCTGGTTCGCCGGATAACTGCAATTACAGTTCATCGCCTTTTAAGTACTTGTTCCTTGGTTCGAATGTGTTTGCCGTACTATTTTTGCAAGTGTAATGCATATAAACTTGGTGATTTATATTCTCAGTAATGCTCGATACCTTGCAGAACACATAATAGTTCAAATTAATCAATAGACGGAGGATGGATTAAGTGAACACCGACGTGCTTAGAACTTGTTTTACATCTCGATTTAAAGAGATCCATGTTCAATTTGAGTTCAAAAATCCCTTTTTTTAATTTATTTCAATAACAAAATATCTAGTTGGTTCAATCGTCTTTAACAAGTTAAACGAGGAAGTAGTAGTAGTTTCAGAAGGATCTAATTCCTTTGAAATTCTGAGTAAATATAGCAATGAATTGAATGGAATGACGAAAAACGATTCATGTAAATAATTTTAAATTTATAGGCGGGCCTTTTCTTTTTCCAATTCACGATACCTTTATCAAAACGAAGTCATGAACAGATTGTAATTGTATCCAAACTACAAGGAGATATTGAGATGTAGATACATACAATCGAACAGCTTCTTCTATAAACACTTATTTAAGTTAAATATCGATCACAGAGCAAGTGAAAGTTAAGCCAGTTATACATGAAATAATTTTCACTCACTCAGCCATGAAGCTGATCATCAATTTTCAAGAACATCAGCAGAAGCAGGGGCAGCAGGTGGATTCTCTTGGAGGAAGCAGTCATGGCGGAGTTTTCGAGCAACTTGATAAAGATCTGTACATGCCATAGTGAAGTTAACACCCAATAGGTTCAAATTTCTGGGAGTGATGACAGTGCAATAGCGCGACCAAATGAATCCAGAGACTGCAAAAACCATTTGCTGGGGATACGAAAGCGTTTCCGGTGGCTTTGAGAAGTCAGAAATATTGGCTATGCTTAGTCCCCATTTGAAGGTTGGTGCCCAGAAATGAATGGTTTTTGGACCTGCTGGATGGTTCCACAGAGCCTTCAACTTGGAATTCGCCATCATCGACCTTTCTCTATTTGGATAAATTTTGCAGATATGAATGAGTCACTCACTTTATCTAACTTGTCATTAAATTTGACGCCAACAAAGTGGGAGGCTGCGAGAGAATTGAATGGTATTTTGAAGAGATTAGCCTTTCTGTTTTATTTTATTGTGAAGTTAGTCAACCTGCAGAATTGGTTAATTATGGTAGTGTAAATAATTGAAATCCCTCTATTAATTATTAGGACTATAAAGCGACAGGTCCGAATGCACGCACTTCAAGGTTGCAACTTGCAATAATTGAGATGTTTAGTGTGGAATAATGTCATCTAAGGTTACTGGTGCTTTAATATTAATTTAGCCCCGATTTGCCTTAAATTATATTTTAATTTTCACTTTTCTATTTTTAACAATACATTTTTTCATAAAATAATATTATACGTAAATTAAAAACCTTTTCTTTTTTTCCAATCACTCATTTTTATAAAAAAATACTATTCCACTTATTTTTTGACTTGGGGGTCAAACATGGGCTTAAATGGCACTAAGCGATTTATAAAATTAGAATAATACTATAGGTACAGAATTTTATGACAGAAAAATCTTATAAACAACATATGACGCGACGTTATTGGAAGATGGGAAAAAAGGAAAAAAAACAGTTTTATCATGTTTTGCCATATCAGTGTAGGTACAAAATCTGTTAAAAATTTTCTGTACTCATGGCTTCATTGGTAAAATTATGTGATTAATGTTGTGTGATTGTTCGAAATCAATAAAACGTGCATTAAAGGAAAATGGAACCAGAGGCCAAAATATATATTGCCAAGCGATTTATGCAACGTGATTTTTAAACCGCAAGTGTACGGTGTCAAATTTTGTAATATAGTAAAGAAGTTAGGATGTCGAACCCACAAGGATTGGTATTCGAATAAATTTGAGTACTATAATTATTTTAGCTCTTACTTTATTTAGATAATCAAATGTTGAAACGATATTTTATGCTAAATTAAAATAAATGGGATGAACGACGCAAGTAAATGAGGATAAATTATAGAATTTCTTATCAAATTATGAATGCTTATGGAATGATTTCTCCGTACCTTCGACAATGTTTTTCAACCATATAATTATTTCCATCGATCTTTCCAAAATTTATAGGCAAGAACACTAAAGTGATTCTATTTTCCTCTCTCGAGCGCCAAATAAAATCTATTTCTATATTTTAATTCCAATATCTCTATTTCGAATTAAAGCTATAAAAATTATTAAGCATGTGGTTCTTAATTAAAACAAGCCTCAAAGATTCGCATCTTCCCTCGAAACCTACGAAATTTAGGTTATGTTGTTTTAGATCACGCCTAAATTTGCCTCTCTCGGGCGCCAAAATTTAGAACATCAAATCAATCAATTAGTGGCCAGTTAATTGAAAGCATTGCGCACAAACAACATAAATAAATAAACGAAAAGATTAATTGAAATAATTAAAACGGAATTCAAACATTTCTAAAGCAGGCTACATCAACCCTAGGATTAAAGTTTAGTACACATTTGAAAGAATTAACACAAGTAAATTAAAATGAAAGCATATGGAAAAGAAAAAGGAATGGAAAAACTCGTTTGTAGCAGCTTGATTTCTTCCCCAAAATTAATTCCTTCAATTGTATTTGTCTTTCCAGCCGTGCCCCTTTTTCTCCTTTCTTCCTTCTCAATCCCAGAAGTTTGAGCCAATGAAAATCCCCTTCAATTATTCTGTAATTGCCCGCTGTTCTCCCCAGAATTATCTTGCTCGTTCCCCCTATACGTGGCTAGTTTCCACAGATTTGTAATGTGCGGCTCTCCCCCCTTTTTAGGTTTTTGAGTGGTATTTATAGTTTCTAGGAGTTTTGGACGGGTTGGAGTCGATTTGGACCGAGAAATATATTTTAGAAATCTGAATTTCCCTTTCTCGGAATGCAGCGCTTGGGCACTGCAATTTGGGCGCTTAGGCGCTGAGTTTCTGTTGGAATTACGGCATTGTGGCGCCTGGGCGCTGAGAGTATAACGCCTGGGCGCCCGGTTCGCCCGAAACGGCGTTCTGCGCGTGTTTCAATATTTTCAGCATAACTTTCTCGTTCGATATCCAATTGAAGTGACTTAAGATGCGTTGGAAACGAAATTCAAAGGGCTACAACTTTACTTCAGGCATCATTCTCCAATTGTATCGTTTGCTATGTTGAAAATGGGTCTGAATGTGGGACTAAAAATCCGGTGCAAAACTTTTCGGTTGGAAAATGATTTATGATCATATCTTGATTAAATTTGATCCCTTTTGACACCTTCCTTCATCCAATTGACTCCTACCACTTTCGGATCTTCATTGCAAGTTCCGATACAACTTTTGATTATGTATACTTTAGTCCTCAAACTTTTGATCTCTTACATTTTGGTCCTTTCATCCAATTTCGCCAACTTCTGCCTATTTCTTTCATTTGGCCTCTTTTAGCACTTGTTTTCTCCACTTCATCCAGCCTTCAAAATAGCGTGAAAACCACATGTTAGCACCTCTAAAATACTCTCCAAGATAGCAAAATCATGAAATTAATGGCATAATATAATGAGTGTAAATCACTCATCATATATATCTGATCGACCAATGCGGTGGCATACTCATATGCAGGGCCTAAAGTGTTGGAAAATTATCACACGGAGGTTTGGAGAAGAAATCGAGAAATGAAAATTCAAGAAGACGAAAATAATGAAAAAAACCTAAATGAATATGAAGGCTCAAACACGACAATATAACGCTGTCCTCAGACGATAATTGCCCCCTCTTGTATATAATTTTGGTGCTTAAAGGGTTTCGTGGCAAATGGTTTGTAGGTGTAATCAAGCCTTGATGTAGAGACACACAAAAGCACAAGTATTTCTCCACCCGAATTTTAAGAACACAACGGGAATTGAATATGAAAGAAGCATTTATCCTTCTATTGTGGAATTAATGGCATGATCATAATATAATCAAGTGTTTTTCCATATGTTAGAAGGATCATCAACCACCTATCTATAGCCATACCTATTTATAGCTATGAAACATTGCTATACGAAGTTGTGCCAAGTATAAGTGAAAGGCCGCCAAGTTTGAATAAAAAAACCGCCACCAACGGCCAATTAAACCTCCTATGCAATCGCATAGAAGAATCCTATGCGACCGCATAGGTTGTTCGGAAGCAGGGCCTTTAGGCCTTGCACTGTCTCATGTGATCGCACCCTTAAGGGCCGTGCAGTCGCACATGAAGACACATCTCAATTTCTTCACTTTCATCTCCACTTTCATTCCACACACCTTTTTATCGATTTTGAATAATAATTTTTCATCAATCCCCCACTTGTTCAAAATTCAATAAATTCTCATATTCGAAGTATACAATACTCATGCATAAGGATTAGATATCCTTCAATTTGAATCTAACCATAGTGTAATTCAAACAAAGTAAAGTCAAAATCAAAGATAGCGTGAACCTTTGAACCAATGTTCCATGTGACAATACCGGTAAGAACACACACATGAGTATTACGTGTTCTCAAGTTCCTCAACTCGCTTAGCACTACTATAACCTTGCGCTTATCCTTTTCGACAAATTTTTAAGAGAGAAACTCCAACTCTCTATTGAGGCGGCACCACCTCGAAGTTCGTCTAGGTGAAGTTCTTCCAATACCTTTGTTGCTTTTAGAGGTACTTGTATTGTAGCACTGAACTTCATTAAGAGCTTAAATCTCAACCCTCATTTCAGTAACTACCAGCATTATTTTAATTAAGATAGGGTTATTGCGGATTTAAATAATGCTGCAACCATCCACATATCGAATAACTTGTTAGTACCATTTAAACCCGTTGATTACCTTTTGAGTAATGACAAGTAGGGTTACCGTTATTGGCGGACCTTTATATTTTAGGAGTTTCAATCACATCCTATTCAAAGTGGATGTCACTAAAATTTTATTTAGTGTCTAGTTAAAGGATCCGCTAAATTCTCTTTAGAAATTATTCCATCTTTGATGATTTCCTTGTGACGTCACCTCTAAGACTTATATGTCTTTACTTCTCATTTCATGTGATGCAGTATCTTATCAAAATATAGCTAGCCAATTATCGATTCATTTGATAGATACAACTCGTCACCATCAAGAAGCCACATGCTTCTCACTAGCTTTATTTAAAGCCTCATTAATTTTCAAAACACCGTTGGATGATTTCCATCAAATCATTACACCAATCAAATCAATTTTATTGTGGATTTCATACTTGGGTATTCACTTGTAATCATTGAATTATTACAATGATTTTCAATAGCATGAATATTTTTTAAATATTCCATTAGTTATGCAAGCGCCATGATCGGCTGTCCCCCAATTCATCCTTTTAAACTTAGTGTATCTCATCCTTATAATTATAATCATAAGGGCTCTTCTACCTTTTCTCTTTTCATAGATATCTTTATATGATTAAAAGATATAAGCAACTATAACTATTAAATCAAGTTACCCCCACAATTCCTCACTTGGGAATTTATATGCAATCTTGCACTCACAAGTCTTGAACTTCTCATATAAGTTCACAAGTGTTAATGTTAACCCCCACATTTGGGATTGTAATTGAATTTAGATTTTATTGACTCTTTCATAGTTCAATTCATTTATCACTTTTGATAATGCTCGTGAAAGTTCAGGTAGTTTCTGATAGTGGTTGTTAAGCCACAATATACTTCAAACCGACTATCTTCAATTTGATTACACATTTTATCAGAGTCATCTCATAGACTGTTAATGTTTTTCAAGCACAAACCAACTCAATTTGTTCCATGATTAAGGTCCAATTCAACAAATGAGACTAAGCATATTAATCTCCAATCATTTGCAATTTATCACTTTTGTGACCTTCACAAGATAGCATCATATCACCTCTAAGGATCCTTCCATATTCACCTTATATTCACATTTGGACAAAATCACATTTTGTCATACTCATATGCAATCTCACTTAATTGCATAGAATTAATTTAGGCGAATTAATTGAAGCTATCAATTCAGCTAAATATAAAAATTTAACTAACTAAATCACCACATTCAAACATTTCCAGATTTGAATGAAAATAATATTTGGCACCACCACCAACTATAGACACAATTTGTTCTCTATAAAATATTTTCATGTCTTAATAATTTTGCAAGCACTTTTCACTAAAGCAAATCACAATTGAAGTCAAATTCATCAACGAATAAGATCATCCATCTTGATTTTCAAGAATTACAATTTCTCCAATCAAATTTAATTTATTACTTTCACAGTATAATTTTCAATGAAATCTGGAATTTTAACCAATCAAGCCATTCTGAGCAAAAGGCTTATCCAAAATCCAAGCCCTTGTATGGATATATCAAATAAATTCACTATTTGAAATTTATTAATCTGCTTCATGTAGTTTAGACTATCATATAGACGCCCAATAATGTTTCCTACTTACAGTAAATGAAATTTACTTGCAGGCAAATTCTATCATGAATTAGTGTTTTTCAATTCCGCACCGAAGCATATGTGAATTCTAGAAATGTTATATGATAAGCATAATCACACATGCCACCAATTAGTGAATGTCAAATAAATTCACCATAGGCGCTTGGAAAGATTTTAACGAACACAGACTCACTTTCACACTGTTTCATTTAAAAATTTTTACTACAAATAAATATAGTAAATCATTACGTCACTTAAATGATGCAAATGAAATGACACTACGCTCAGCAAGTGACAGTTAGCAAAAGTGGGAGTTATCAGAGTAACATTTCTAAATGCAATTACAAGAATACTGAAAGGGCACCACTTTACGAAAGTTTGGAGAATAATATTTCCAATAACTATAATATAGAGAATCACAAAACTGTTTAATTTTGCACACATTTTTAAAGACTACTACTCAAACTTTAATGCTTGACTGAATATGATATTAGAATATATATATATATATATATATAACCATTCTCCATTGCCAAAATATCATTTGAGATTGTTGAAAAATTATCACACCGGGGTTTGGAGAAGAAACCGAGAAATGAAAATTCAAGAAGATGAAAATAATGGAAAAAATCTAAATGAAGATGAAGGCTCAAACACGACAATTTATCGTTGTTCTCAAACAATATTTGCCCCCTCTCGTATATAATTTTGGTGCTTAAAGGGTCTCGTAGCAAATGGTTTGTAGGAGTAATCAAGCTTTGATGTAGAGACACAAAAGCACAAGCATTTTTTCACCCGAATTTTAAGAACACAACGGGAATTGAATATGGAAGAAGAAGCATTTATCCTTCTATTGTGGAATTAATGGCATGATCATAATATAATCAAGTGTTTTTCCATATGTTAGAAGGATCATTAACCACCTATTTATAGCCATAAAACATTGCTATACGAAGTGGTGCCAAGTATAAGTGAAAGGCCGCCAAGTTTGAATAAAAAAACCGCCACCAATGGCCAATTAAACCTCCTATGTGGTCGCTTAGAAGAATCCTATGCAACCGCATAGGTTGTTCGGAAGCAGGGCCTTTAGGCCCTGCACTGTCTCATGGGACCGCACTCTTAAGGGTCGTGCGGTCGCACATGAGGACACATCTCAATTTCTTCACTTTCATTTCCACTTTCATTCCACACACCTTTTTATTGATTTTGAATAATAATTTTCCATCATAAAAGCCTTGCCATGAAACCAACTATGTGGTCGCATAGGTTTGGCCTATGTAACCGCACAGTGTTAAAATATAGTTGTTTGTGGGTGCTGTTGTTTTGAATTTGTTAGCTTTTCAACCTATTTTGGCATCACTTCATGGGATATTGATGAGGCCTATACATAGGTGATTGATATTCATTACAACATATCTTGAAACATATTTTAATTGAAAATCATTACACAAAAGAATCAAAGTTTCATTATATTTATATTCTTTGCGTTCTCAACATTTGGAGTATTCCACTAAGTGATTAAGTGTTGAATCCTAAAAAAAGCTTGATTACTCCTACAAACCATTTGTCGGAAATTCTATAATCACCAAATTCATCCGAGAGGAAGTAAATATCGTTTGAGGACAACGATCATATATTTAGACCTTTAATTTTTATATTCATATTTCTGGTTTTGATCTTGTTTCTCCTCCATTTCTCTCATTGCAAAGTCATATTTCCAACAACTAATTTAAAGAGACATCTCATTCAATGCTATTTCACACCATCTGAGTTATAACATCAATTGTATTAAATAGCATTAATCGCATAGTATATTTGGAGAATCAATGACTTTCTCATAAGTTTTGGAATTCACAAATTTGTAAATAAAAAGAGAAATGCTTTCATGAGTGATAATGGTTACAGGCATATGATAAAAGTAATGTTATTTAATACTATTGGTGTTATAAAACCAAATTAGATGACAATAATTTAATTTCACTAATGTTGTCATCTGGATTAGTATCAAAAACCAGTGATGTTAAATAACATTACTAATGAAGAATCACATAATTTCACATTTAATTGAACATATCACATTATACCACGTAAACTAATGCTCTAACATCCTTGGTGTTATACATCATTATTCTATGATAATGGAGTCATTGTTATATTATTTAATCAAATTTAAATGTACTTTTATTCGTTAAATAATGTGATGATATCTTCGCATCATGAATCCAAATGAATAGCATTATTCAGACCAAAATGCACACAATTATTCGTTCAACTGCTTGTAAGCCGAATAATTTGGTATATTCAAGCAAAGTTTGTCATCTTCTCAAAATTTTAGGTCAATTTTGAACTTTGGACGGACTATATGGTATTAGGAGATATTCGAACAAGAGGATATACCAATTTTTTTTCCTTCTCAAAAAAGAAAGCCAGCTTAAACCATTGGATCGCATTCGCTTTCCTGTGTAAGAATAAATTAGAATAAAATATGTAATGGTAGTACTTGTGGCTCCAATAGCAATGTGAGCCAAGTTTGTATATGATTAAATTTTTTGTTTTGCTAAAGGTACTCGGAGTTTGACACTCCGAGTTATCTACTACTCACATGGGGGTTGGACCCCATGCTAATAAATGTGTGAGATCCGACCCCCTCACTCACATTGGCACGCCGGGTATAAATGAAAAATTCCTTAAATTTTGACAAAATTAGCAGTCAAGAACGCCGGGTACAAAGGGAAAATTCCTTAAATTGTGGCAAAAGTAGCAATCATCACCTACTTGACTACTAACAAATTAATTTTAGCTTGTTCATTATAAGAAATGACTCAGTATGGCTCTTGTGCCAACTCTATCCACTTTAAGAAGAAGCTACTTCAATTTTTCTGAAGCAACCTAACCGATTTTCAAAAGGTATTTATATTCACACCACATATTTTGTTAATTATTTCATATTTTAGTTATAATGAAATTCTATAACTTTCACTCATTTTGACACTGATGTTCATAACTTTTTATTGCATTCTTATCTTACATTCAAGTAATTAACACATCTTATTAGAAATAGAAATTTCTATTGAAATATTCTGTTATCGTGAAGGAAATATTTTCAAACTTTTATATTTATTGTCTATCTTGCTTATTTAAAAATAAGCTGGACAAATAAGTTGTTTATTTTTTATTATTATTATTTTTTAATCGCTCAAGCAAATTTTTTGCCATTATTTGGGATATGTGCTAAATAATGGAGATTATTAATAGAAGTTGAAGATAAAATATGGCCAAAATAAAAAAAAAAAAAAAGGGTTCAAGACATGAGTGAAAATTAAAATATTGCGCACTTACTAAAAAAATAAAAATTGCAGTGTGAATATAATTTCCCTCTTATTAACCTTGTTACACCCTATGCTCGGCCTTATAAGTAGGCTATTATTTTATTCGAATGAAAGAGAACGATTGCAAGCTTCAGTTCATTGTTAACTAAAGAAAGCTGAAATAACATTACAATCGAATCTGACAAGAGCATCCAAAGAGAGCAATATTTATAAATTACATTTACAGCAAACCATTACACATAATCAATGAGTCGAATGTGTTTGTGCATTACAAATGCCATGTTTCTCAACTGAATAACATTAATCACAGCACTCACCTTGCAAAATTAAAAAAGAACCAAAATTGAGTTAAGTCTACTTATTTCTTCAAGAACTTCTCAATTTGTTCAAGCACCTGCCAAAGAATATAATCAAGTTAGCAGCATACTGAAATAAACTCTGAAAGAGAACAAAAAGTTGGAGAAGACTATAGAGAGACGAGAGGGAGAGGAAGAAAGAGACCTCGATTGCAATTACAGTTGGCGTGAGATTGCATACATCTGTATCTCTCAGTTTGTTTGCAATATCTGCATAAAGAAGACATATGTCACAAAGGCAAATGCTGAAGCACAACTGAGCTTGAAAAAGAGAGTCAAGATTCAGATAACAAAAGTAGAAGTCTTACTTTCTAGGGAAACTCTGGCATTTGCGTTGGTGTATGCTTCACCCCGTTCTTCGAAAAGGGTAGTTAACAGCTTCATGGTCTACACAAATCTCAGGTCAGGTAAGAAAACAGCAAGGAGTCAAGTTCACAATGAACAAGCACATATGAATTTCATCGTTTTTTACTTGATGTTTGCAGCACATAAACTTGTATACTTCCTGAAGAAGTCCAGTGATATTGATATGGGAGGCAACGTACCTTAAGATAAGGATCTCCAGATTCGTGATGCAAAAGGGGCCGAGAATCAGTCCCTACAGCTGTAATTCTTCGTGCTAAAGCTTCCAAAGGTACATCTAGCCATACACTGATACCCTTTTGCATGTATCTCCTGACGAGGCAAATATGGTGATCAGTCAGAAAACTGTGAAGTAAAACTGTAGAAGGAGAATTAACCATACTATAAGAACACAATATCATCCAATATAGTTACCAATTGATGGGGCGAACAACTGCACCCCCACCCGTGGAAACAACCAATCGGTGCATCATAGACAGCTTCCGTAGTACCTCCGTCTAAAGGGAAAAGTAGAAAAGATAACTTTAATTTCAGAAAAGATAAAAGAGAGCCAAGTTTCGCATTCATTATAATTAGAGGCACTAAATTGCAAGACATTTCAGATGCACAAGTATTGATCATACGAGAAACTATAAATTCCTGAAAAGTGCTATCTCCATTCCACTATCTTTTCCTTTGTTGGCTTATCTGGTCAAGTTGACCTCTTTAAGAGCAAAATCAACAGTAATAATAACATTAATGTTGGAAATGACATTTAAAAATTATTGAAGTACACAGAAGTGCTAATGCAAGAAAGGTTTGTGATTTTCTGAACAAAGTAAATAATAAATAAAATTATATAAATACCATTCTGAAGAAATTTCAGGGTCTAAATACAGTCAATACATGTGAAGAATTCAAAATATCATTATTCAAATAATGAAATTGGGTGAGTTGTGAATCTGCAACAAATGGAAAAATGAATTTCATACAAAGCGCCTAACTTGTGAACAATGAACAAATTGCAAGTACAGATTCACTAAATTTTAAGCCGTTCAAAAAATTATCCTCAAACACTAATGCGGAAAAGTAATATGTATGAATTATCAACAGAAAAGTATAAGTTCAAATATGCAAACAGCTCTTTTTGAAAATAATGCTCGAGGTTAGGCCTGCCCAGGACATCCACTTGTGTAACCCAACTTGGCGACAATCCAATAAAGATAGGAACTTTAGCACAGGTCAATAAAATTAACAACTACATGCATCATTTATGAGGAACGGTATCATAAATTTGCACTTATATGGTAGAGAATAAGGAACTTTTCGATTTTGATTGAGGAAATAAACGAGTAATACAATCGTTGAGTTTCTTTGACCATAAGTTTTGAGGAAGCTGAAAACATGAAGCTTTCAGAAAGATTTCGGGAAAGCTATAAGAACTATGAAAAATTAAGAGACAAGTCAACTGTTTGTCTTTAATATAACTAAAAAATTTCATCATATACAGGACAAAAATATCTTAAAATCTATTAGGAACATCATCGATATTTGCAACCATCTAATTAGATAAGTAGAAGTATTATCAGAAATTTTGAAATTTCAAAATTACCCTTGTATTCTTTTTCATTTTTTTTATATGGAAATTTGTCTCAACTTTGAAGCATGAGAAACATGAATAGCTTATATTCACTTCAAAAATTTCAGCAAAAAGTGCAAGGAAGAATAAGAAATGCTTCATTTAAGGATTATCAATGTAAATGCAGAAAGATTTCTATTTCTCTTTCAATACCATCCCCACTACCAATGGCAGCATAAGACACCAAAAACATTCAGAAGATAAGATTGCCAAGTGTTCAAAAGCATAAACATTGGTACATGGTTTAAGTGAAAGAATGAAGAGCTTCGATCTTTTAAAATGGTGAAACTATAAGGATTCAAACTGTAATAACAGGTGTAGAGTAATAATGACGATATGAAGTTTAAGTACACTTGCTTTGGGGAATGCGAAGTGAGAAAGGAATAATAGATATATGAGAAAAGATAAATGAGACCATCTGATGGTACCACTGATGCAGATAAAGCACAAGACTGCATTGAACACAAATTAGGTTTTATTTCTCAGCAACTAACCTCATTGTCTCTGAAGAAGCTCTCTCCATGTAACTTGAAGATTTCAGCCACGGTATTTCCACCAACAGCTTGCTCAATGAGTGTGTCACTGAAGCATCCAAAAAGTAATGTGGTCTAAAAATATCAGAAGGAAATATCATAAAGACAAAGTGTATGCTGATAAGCTAGCAGAAAAGATGGATCTACTTATATACCATCCTAATACAAAACCAGGGTTGCTAATTGGAAACAGGAGATGATCTTGGAACTTACCAGTCATGAAAAGAATACCCAAGAGCTTCTGATAAAACCTTGCCCACTGTTGTTTTTCCAGACCCCATCATTCCTGTATTTTGTTAAAAATGGTTAAAATGCAAATGACCATCAACAATGTAACAGATTTTAAAAAATAGAGATGAGACTGACCAACAAGATATATACAACGTCCATTTAGATGTTGTTCGATCTCTTCTGCTTTTTTCTGCAAAAGGCACCCACAATGAGTCAAAAAGTTGAATTCAACTTCTCAAATACTTGTGAATATGCCAGTGCCATATCAGCTATTTAACAGATAAGCTAGGCAAAAATGTCATTGCGCCAAAATGATTTTCACAAAAATCGGACATCATAAATCCAAATAAGATGGTCAAAGGATCGTTGATACCTCTAAAATCTTATCAAGTGATGCTGGAAAACATCCAGACTCCAGCACTGAAGCTATGAAACCAGTAAAAGGATGTAAGTCACTGATGTGGTACTTTCAAGTTACATGTCCGTATACAACATTTCTTTGTGTAGATAAGAAAAAGTGACAAAACAAACAACAATTTTAACAAGAAATTGCAGAACTAAGTGTTTCAGACAAAAAGACTGCAGGAGTCTTCACATAATGCAACAAATGATCGTTCTCAATTTCACGAAAATCACAAATATAAGAGTCATAGATCATATGTAAGGACAAGAGATAATATATTTTAACAATGTTCATGTGCAAAAAAATAATATTTTTGTCAATTTATATCTTCAATGATAGTTGTACAAAATATTATGACTTCACATCAAAAGATGAAAATAACAATAACATAAGGAACACAACTTTCTCTGGGTAACACTAAATGTATGAAAAAAGATAGCCTTAAATAGAGCTCACGCGTGCCAATTTTCACTAATTTTCATGTTAATCTGTAAATAATAACCAGTAAGGATAGCATCATAAATAGAAATGGAGAAAGGGAATACCAAAAGGCATTTTTTACTGCTCCAATACAACTTAATTCACCTAAATAATGATGCAGCTAGAATGTCAAAAATATAGAGGGGCCATATGTGCCAATTCTGCATTGTCTAGAACTACAAGAAAAGCGGTTTCATTACTCGTCGTGGACTCCGCACCTATTTTTTTTGGAGCTGAGGTGGTGAGTAACACATGTATTTATTGTTGAATTAATTAATGATTTATTTACTTAACTATATTTCATTGAACTAGTTCTAAAGTTAAATTATAACTATTTATCAATGAAAGGGAATAAGCACAGTCATAAGGCAGCACCAGGCTCCCAATAGGAAAATTGAAGACATTGATTCATTCACAGCTTTGATTAAAAAGTGATTGCATAACTACCTGGTACATTTTCAGAAGAGCATGAAACCTTCAACACCAACGGTCTTTGCCAACTCCTTCCTTTTCTAGTTGGCAAATGAAATGGAATAGGTTTCTTGTAGCAATGCTGTTCCCCACATTTGTGGGAAAACCGCAGCGAACCATTTGGTTTTCTTGCAGTTTTTTCCAAATTCATCCATGTTGACAATTGCAAGCCTTGTGAAACTTTAACCTCCATAATATTCCACTGCCTTTTTTACTCTTATTTATTTCGATCTATAAAACAGAACTCTCTTTTATTTTCAAGAAACTCAAAAGATTAAAAAAATAGTACCCAAGCCACTAAACTTGAGACTCCGATTTTCTGCAAAGAACAATAATTCATCCCCCAATTTTTTTCAATGAATGGAGTATATAAACGGCCAAAAAGTACAAAGATCAAATATTTTATCTCATACCCTCTTGATTTTCCTTTTAATTACTGAATTGCTTCCATAAAAAATTCAAAAAGAAAAATAAACAAATTCACCGAACCAATCCAATCCAAAGAATAAACAAGAATCAAAGACGAAGGGGAACAAAGGCAATGAAAAGACAAATTTCACCAAATTAGATAAAAAAAAAATAATTTCAGTTATCTCTTCTTGAAAGGCACATTTCAATATTAATACATACTAATATACTTAAATGCTAGAAATTGCACGTACAAATCATTACTTTATTGTGCTTTTTGTTGGCGACCGAGAGTATTACAGATGGAGACATGAGTGCGCAGCAAAGAGTGAAGTTTTGCTTACCGGAAAGCCGCAAAACCGGTGGTTGGTAGAGGGTATTTCACCTCTTCCTCCTCCTTTCTCCTCGTGTACTGTTACTGAAAGATTATTAATTTATGCGTGGAATTGCGGTAGGTGGGATAGAACCCTCTCAACTTCAAAATGTAGTTGTATTTATATATAAGAAAAATTGCCATGAGTTTGGTGATGGCGTGATGCACTCACACCGGTCGTTCTGATTCAACGGGGCAGTAGTTAGACATATTTTTACATAATTATTTAAAAGATTTTTTTTTTTAATTAAAAAGGATGAGGCCAATATCTTTTGTAATCTCGATCTCTTCAAACTCCCAATGATATGTTTTTAGGCCCCTCCAAAATTTGATATTAGTTTTATCCCATTTTACATTAGATTTTGAACCAAATTAAAAATTATATTTAATTATTATTCCAAAACTTATGCTCAACGAATAGTATTTAATCATTTTCTTCCTTTTTTAATTTTTAACAATTTATTTATTTGAAAAATTATTTCTTTATCTATTTTACAAATATATAAATTATTAAGTGAATAATTACGTTAAATTAACGAAAATGTTAAATTCATTAATGAACATAAAAAATATAATACAATTGATAGAAACACTACAAAAAATCTTAAATAATCATGTTTGTCATATTTAATTATTTTAATTAATTCATTAACTATTATTTTGTATCATTAAAATTTCTTTTAAATGTACATAATAATAATAATAATAATAATAATAATTTATTGGATTAAAAAAATATAACATAAATGACACAAATACTCTTAATCAATTTGTCTAGCAAATGAAAATAAAAGGTAAAATTCACTTAGCACTAGAAATGACAAATGAACTCGTCGGTTAAGGCAACTCGTGGATCGACCCCAAAAATGCTCGAGCACCAAGCCCAAATTTCGAGACTTGGCCGAGCCTAGGCCAACACATGTGGCTCATCGAGCTATCTGGGCTGACTCTTGTCACAAGTTCAATCCAACTCGTGACCAACCTTAATAATTTAAAATTAAATCAATAAAGTATAACTTATATCTAAATATACTTACATAGTTAATATTCACAATTATACTGCAATTATCTTATTTATAATTTATTATCATATTCATTAATATTTTTGTTATATTTTATTGATAAAAATTTTAAATTTTATTATATATATAGGGGTTAACATAATATTATTCGTTATCTTGTAGTGTTGAAACTTAGAAGACGTTTTCTATTCCAATATTTTTAGTTCTATAAGTGAATATTAGGATATTTATACTCTTGAAAATTGCACTCTAATTCACATATTCTCGTATCTATATGAATATTTTTTTATTGTATTTTAGTCCAGAAGAATTTATTTGACTTCTTTATATAAATATTTCTTGAATATAAAAAAAAAGTTTAATAAATTCTTGAACTGACTTGGCTCAACGAATCCCAAGCCAAAAGCCCGTGTCAAGCCTCCACATTTTGGCCGAGCCAAACGCTCGGCTCGACTCGGAGTAAAAAAACTCAAGCTTTTTTTGATCAAGTCGCGAGCTTCAGTTTGCAAGTCGGCTTAGTTCAGTTCATTAACACTCTTACTTTGCATTATTTTGCACCAAAACGATGTAAAGTTTGGTGCTACATTGGAGACATTTTGTATCAAAGTTTGGTGCATTTTTGGTATTTTAGTGTCTCATTTGGGGATGCCCTTAGCCCCGATATTCTTACCTATAGCCAACGTTCTAAAACATGTAATGCATAGCAATGTACTTCGATTGAGCATCAAGCGTTACAAATATATGTGTGTCTATGCGAAACATATACGCAATTATGTATTTTTTTTATTACTTTAAATGTTCTAAACAAATAAATAAATAAAAAATAATAATGCATTGCATTCTTTGAAATGTGAGTGTGTGTATATATATACACTTTAAATAAAAAATAATTTGCTTGAAATTTTAAATACTACAATTACTTAGAGGAGGAGGCTCGAGCTCAGCATGATAGTTTGCAATTCTATGAAAAGAATTGTTTTGATTTCACTAAAAGTTAAAACTATAAATTGATGTATATAATTCAGTGGTAATTACATGGAGATAGATTTTTAAAGATTCAATTTAATAAATAAGATTTTAAGTTTTACCTTTAATAATTCAGGTTATAATTAATTAATTAATATTTATTAAATAAGTATATTATTATTAATCAATAAAAAATTAATTATACATACACTTTCTCCCTCTTCTCCTTCTTTCATCACTCTTCACTCTCTATGAGTTTGTTTCGTTTAAATTTTAAGTCAATTAAAATCAATTTTTAACCGTTATTTCAATATTTCAGTCGTCATTTTTGAGTTCTTCTCTCACAGGTAAGATCCACTTTATCTATAATGATAAAAAAATCAATTATTAAAATCCCTATCAAATAAGCACTATATTTTATGCCACAATCTAAAGGAAACACAACAATCACCGACGATGGCACAAAGCAGCGACGATCGCGATGACAGTGACTAGTGAATGCATCCTAATTCTTCATGCAATAAAGAACCCTAATTTCAACAATGAATCGACGACGCTGCACGTGCTGGTGCTGATATGTAATTAATTTTATGGAGTGGTGGTGGTGTATCTATGAGAGGGTTTTGGTTTTTGGTGGTGGTGTCCCTGTTTATTTTGGTTGTTTCCAAGTTTACTTTTAGAACCAAAAATGTACAATAACCACTTTGCCGAATTCTGTTAACTTGGAATTTTGTAGGTGATGAAGGGTGGTGTTGGTGCAATTATAGGGCTTTCTATATATTCAAATGGAATTTAGAACAAAAAATGTACAGTTGTAGTGCTCTCTATACATTCACTTTTATATCAAAAATATAAACTTGGAAATGACTAATTTTGTTACTTTATGCCATCCCATCTATATAATTATTTCATATAGTGATGAAGTGGTGGTGGTTGTTTTGATTGTCGGAGATGGATTCTGTTGCATAAAATATTCCTACTAAATATTTTGATGTATAATTAATTTATTGTGCAAAAGGGTTTAGTTGTTGGTTGTGGTGGCGATAGTGGTGGTGATGGAGTGATGGTAATTTTTATTGGTTGTTGTTGGTGTTTCGCAAATGGTGGTGGTGGTGAGATTTTGGGATGGTTTTTATTTGTTGTCATTAGTATAGATAAGTTATTCGAATTGTTAAATGTTACTAGTCACATCACACGTTCATTTGCACAAGTAATTGGTCCTATGTCACAAGTCATAATTCAGTTGGCAAAATTCAATGTGCATTGTTACATGTCACATATCACAAGTCATTGTCCATATAGGCGCAGACACAGGGATGACCCCAACTTTGGGCTTTTTCTTCCTTTTTTTTTTCCTCTTTTCTTTTTCAAATTTTTATGTTTTTGTTTCAATTTTCGAAGTCATTATGAGACGTCAAATGAAATCGAAATATTGTATTCTTAATATCATTTTGAAGTGATCAAGACCTAATTTTCTAGTTGTTAATGGTGCTTAAAACGACCAATCGTAATAAATGTTACAGCTTATCAAGTAAGTCATCCAAACTAATATTTTCAGAATTTCAATAACATACTAACTTAAAAATTCTTCGACAATCATACACTAGCCAAATCCACAAACGCCTATGTCATCTTGAAGCTCATTTCGAGAACTATATCACAGATATACCTAATGGTCCAAACAAATATCGAAAATAGTTAAAAATGCGTCAAACGTGCTTCTTAAAAAGATAAGTATAACTCGTATTTTCTTTAACAAACTTTAATTATTATTATTTTTTGCGATACAAATTTTCAATATAATTTGCATCATTTTATTAAAAAAATTTACATGGGATATGACATCAAATTTTTTTGAAATTTTACATCCGAAAAAGTCATACCCATGTAAATTTTTGGAAGTAAAATTACATGGGTTATATTTTTTTGGATGTAAATTTTCAAATGAAAGATTCCAATTTTTTCTCTAGTTTGATTGTACCCTCTTAACTTCAAATGTCTGCATCCGTCCTTGTGTGCATAGCTCACAGATAGCTGATTTATGTTCACATGTTACACTTCACAGGTAACAAATTATATTGTATATGTCACAGATCAATATTAATTGATCACAAATCAAATGTCACATGTCTTTGTACACTAATAAAAGGTCACTGATTTAAGTTCACATATCACAGTACATATGTTACAGGTAACAAGTAATAATTCATAAGTTACACGTCATATTGCATGTGTAACAGATCAATGTCTATAGGTCACAAATTGAAGAGAACTGATTACAGGTCTTTGGATCAATATAACAATTCACATGTATCATTCATAGCATATAGGTCATAGATCCATATCAATAGATATATATCACAGAAAACTGGCCACAAACTATTGGATCAATATCACATGTAACAATGACTCTTTTCGATTTTCTTCGCTACTCATAGTTTATAGGCCAATAGATCTTTTCAGTATCACATTTTATAGGCTAATGGAGCTCTTCAATTTTCGTCCTAGCAAGTCACAATTGAATCTTCAATATCATTCCATAAATTCAAAAGTAGGAAGATACATCAACAATTCAATGTTAGCCACCACCAATTGTGACTTCAAAACCCTTCAAATCTAACTCGAAGCCCTTCGCTAACAGTACAATAAAGCAACTCTACAATGGTAGTCGTCACTTTCAAAAATTTTGATATACTATGACGATAGCTTCTAATTTGTGACCTTAGGCCATTTCCAATGCTTCCCAAAAACACCAAAATGCACCGAAAAATGGTGCAAAACAACTCCAATGCAACACCAACCATTGCACAATTTTGGTGCAAATGGTCAAAAGTCATTTTTACCATTTATTTTTATTTCCCAAATAAATTGATTAAGGGTATTTGTGTCATTTATACTATATATTTTTTAATACAATAAATTATTATTATTATTATTATTATTATTATTATTATTATTATTATTATTATTATTATCATCATCATCATCTACATTTAAAATAAAATTTAAATGTAAAAAATAATAATTAATGAATTAATTAAAATAAGAATACAAAAAAAATTAAAATATAACAAACACGATTATTTAAAATTAACACGACATATATTAAAAAATGACAAACATACATTAATCGATCATTAGTAGGAAAAACATACGAGTTTTGAGAATTAAATTGTAATGATATT